GCCCAGACCTTGAACATTCTCTGTGGTCCTGCAGGCTGTGACTGAAGGGCAGACCCTGGCCATCCATTTAGGGCCCTGAGCACATGCTAGAAGGCCATTCCATGATGCAAGGTCTAAGTCAAGTGTGCCTCTAAGTCTCAAGGACATGGGCAGGATTCTCTACTGTCAGGTCCGGTGCATGTTGTCTCAGGCTCTGAGTAAAATAAAAGGGGAAAAGGGGACCAGGGAAAAGCGCTGGCCCAGAAGTCAGCAGACGCAGGTTCTAGTCCTGGCTGCTGGGCTACCTACCTACTGTGCCTCTCCAGGCCTCAGTTTCCCTGTGTGTCATATCAGGAAATTAGGCTGAAGGGTCCCTGGTGTTTCTGATACCTGAGTATATACTAGGTGTTGGGTATTGTGGGGGTGGGCAGCTCAAGAGGAGAAGAATTAGTGGCTCTGTTTTTGAGGCAGAATCATTAAGCTGGTGTATCAGCTATTGTCACAACAATGCTGTTTGACAAATCGGACTGCACCCAGTCTCAGTGCCTTAACACAGCAGTCATGTATCCTCGTACTCGAGGTCTGCGGCCAGCTGCCGCTCGGCGGGGCTGGGCTGGCCCAGGCTGGCTCCCAGGCCCCAGGCTGCAGTTTGTAAACGGGGTCAGTTCACACAACAGGATGTGTGCTCTGCTCCATGGTCCCCACGGCACAAGACAGTCAGCCCAACGGGGACAGCAAGTGTCCAGCCACTTCTCCTCTTCTAGCACCTACTGGCCAAACAAGTCACCAACCCCTAAGTCAGGAGTGGGGGAGTTTACTCCACCCACCGTGAAAGTGTGGCGAAGGTGTGGCCGGTAATACTGCTGCTACAGGAGAGAGAAGAATCGGGGCCAGTGGCTCAGCCTGGCTCAGCTGGGGAAGACGAGAGGAACCCAGGGGATGTGAAAGGTGCCACGTGTCAGGGTGTGGCCAGTCCACCTCCACCTGCTCCTTAACCGAGTCTGAAATCTGCCCCAAGGCACTGGCATCATTAGCCAACTCAGGCTTCAAGAACACCCAGGCCAGGTATGCGGTGACGGGGGTACCTGGAGTCTTTCTCATTGGTGAGAGCGCTAGGAGGGACTCAGCGGCTGCCATTAAGCAGCTCTGTTTTTTTCTAAATCTGATGTCTGCTCACCAGCCTGAGTGTCAACTTGTGGAGGCCATCCTACCATGCTTCATTCCTTTGGCAGCCTTTGTATCACTGTGCAGAGCCTGGGTGGGAAGCAAAGGGAAGTACAAAGCTGAGCCTTCATAAGAGACCAGGTCCTTATCCCCCATCGGAGTCCCTTGATACAGCCGTGCCTGAACCAGAACTTCTCAGGGGCAGGAATCAATCAATTCCTTTTTTGTCTTAAACCAACATTTGAACTGGGTTTTCTGCCACCAGGGCCAAAGTGGTCTGTGCTTAATATAAGAGCTCACCTACCCAGGACTCCATGTGGGAAGGAGGGCAGCAGGTACCTCCCAGCCTCTGTGTGGTACGAAGTCTGCTCTTCAAAGTGTGGTTGGTGGGGGGCGGGGGGAGGCTTGTTAGAGATGCAGAATCTTAGGCCTCTCCCCAGATTAGCAAAATCCAAATCTCCATTTTGATACATTTTAACTAGTGCCCCAGGGCATTCTATGCACATTAAAATCTGAAAGGCCTTTCTGAGGAGCAGGGCAAGCCCCTCTTCCTCACTTGCTGGGACCGGGTACAGTTTAGCAGTTGACTAGAGTTGGGCACCAGGGTTTTTAAATGATGGTTTTGCTACTTATGATTCCAGGGGCAAAGAACAGGTGTGTTTTTAAATATCTCTGCATCTCAGTTTTGTCTTCTGGAGAATGGGGATAGTACCGATCACTTCGTCTCAGGCCTTTGAAAGGACCCGTGTAATTAAGTCGTGGGAAGTGCCCGGCACACTCGGGGGGCGGGGGGAGGCAGAGCTCACGTGATTGTTGGCACAGCTCTGCAGCGTGGCAGCTTTGCATTCCCCCCACCTAATAACTTCTGACGGGTCAGACCACGCAGCAGGCAGAAAACGTTCTTAGAGTGTGTGAACTGATGAAAAAGTAGTGATTTTTCTAAATCGTCTAAGAAAATCATCCACAGGGGTTGTTTCATTTGTAGTTAGTAGTTGTTTGATTTTGACCTGTACCTTTGGGCCAGGGTAGGAGCCAGGTAAAGAGGAGAGGTCACCAGGAGGGGGCCGTGCTCTGAGCTAAGAGTCCAAGGGCAAAAGGGCTGTGCCTTCTAGGGAGGAGAGAAGCTGAGCATCTGGGCAGGCTGTTCTGCTGAGGACGGACCCCAGCGAGGCCTGGTGGTGGGTGAAGACTCTAGGTTTCACCCAGCGGGCCCCTGCGATAAAACCAATCATGGTGGCACTGGCTTCTCTGCGGCCCTTGGCCCTGCTGGATTATGACACTGATTCTCCGACAGTGTGACTTCTGTGTCACACAAACCTCAGAAGAGCTCCCAATGGCCTTGACGCCTGACACAGCCCAGCCCTACTGCAAGGGACACAGGGTGTCGTTGCCTGGATGCTGGCGAAGGCCACAGAGGCGGGGAGGCCTGCTGTCTAAAGTAACTCGGGAGGCCTGGTCCATGGCCTGGGGCCTTCTGTCACTGATTCTGTGTGTGGCCGAGGCAGGAGAGGGGTAGGAAGGGCTTCTGGCAGGGCACTGCCAAGGCTCCAGAAGGAAATCTGCCCCGTGGTCTTGGAGAGGGCGCACGGACCCTCTGCTCAAAGGGGTCCCGGGCGTCCTTGGCTGCACTCTGGGGAGCTGCCCCAGGGGAGCTGCCGACCTTGGCTTTTGATATCTGTAGTGGTTGGGAAGTAGGAAGGTATGAAAGTTTCTTAAGTACTATTAATGTTCATGATCAATCTCTGAGGTGCCTGTGGTTTACGAATGAAGCTGAGATTGGGAGGCTGAGAAACTCCGAGCTGCAGCTTCAGGCAGGAAGAGATGTCACAACGAGATAAATAGAACGGACCAGAGGTCAGACCAGAGGTCAGGCGGGACCAGGGTCCAGTCCCCCTCTTACCACTATCTCTTTCGTTGCCAACTGTCTGAGATCATGAGCAAATCACGTCACCTCTCTGTATGTTCATCCAGAAAGCAGGGATAAATACACGCTCTTGGCAGGACTGATGTTGAAATTATCCATGGTGGTGCAGTTAAAGCAGATGGTGCAGTAGATGGGACACAGTCAGGAGGTAAAGGTGGATGACCATGGTCTAGAGGGACTGACACATGGACAGGGTGGTGAAATCAGGGAAGGCCTCTCTGAGGAGGTGGCACTTCAACTGAGATAAGGGTAGACATTCATGTTTAGGAATCATTAACATATAACGGTATTTAAAGCCGTGGAACTAGATAATATTATTTAAGTAGAAACAGGAGCCAGAGAAGGGCGGATATCTGAGGAGTGAGCCTTGGGCCTTTCCGGCACTCATCCCTGGGCGAAGGAGAGACTCGGCAGTGCGAGTGGACACGAGGTGGCTAAGGTGGAAAGAGGAAAGGCAGTAAGTAGGGTGTGGTGCTGTGAGTCAAGAGAAGGTCATGTGTCAGGAAGCAGGAGGGAGGGCTTTGTGCTGCTGGAAGGTCATCAAGGTAAAGACGGAGAAGCACCCATTAGCTGTGACCATGGGCAGTTGGTTGGTGGCCTGCACAAGAATGGAGTGGAAGCCAGCTGGAGAAGGCCGAGGAGCGTGGGGAGGGAGGCGGTTTGTCCTTCTGACTGTGTAGCATGAGGCGTGCCCAAAGAAACCGGGACTTGCCCTCTCACTCCCGGTATAACAGTGTGTGTTTGCTTTCCTGTGAGATTCTTGGCCTTGGGAGATGGCAGGCTGGAGAAGAAGACAGAGGTTGGGCAGAAGGAAGCATGACTTTTGGGAACTGAGTACAGCTGGAGAAAGTTTGGTGGCAGAGCCAGGGAACTCAAGAGGTTCGTTAGTTAAAGTGGTTTCTTTGTGTGGCCTGAGCTATAAATCTGTCCTTCAGTCATTCAACAAACACTTGCTGTGTGTACGGTGTGTAGAGCAGCAAACATTGCTCTGCCAGACAAGGGTGATCTGTCATTAGGTGAGACATCCCCCCAAAGGGAGAGGATTCAAGGTCTAGAGGAAGACAGGTATTTAAACATGACAGGACCTTGAAGGGAGTCAAGTATAACAAAGGTATGTCCTGTGCTCTAGAAAGTGAGGGAAGGAAGGCCTGAGCTTGTCTGGGAGATGGGGTAGAATCTGGCGAATGAAGACTTCTTGGAGGAGGTGGCCTGAGGCAGAGGCCTAAAGACTGAGTGGCCGGCACCGTATTGGAAAGATCACTCGGGGCCTTTCTCTCCCTCCCCTCCAGCCCCACCTGTTCTCCCTCCTTTCCCAACTCCTTCTCCTCCTCTCCCTTCTCCCCTTCTCCTACGCTCTCTCCTCCACCCTTGGCCCACGAAGAAAGGCCTTCTGTGGCCTCCCTTCCAGCTGATGAATTATGCATGCTCTTCAGCGGTGTGCCTGGCATCCAATTAGGGCTGCGGCCAGGTTGATAACATAGATTAAAATGTAATTCATTGAGGCTGACATTTAAGCCCCAGTGTGAATGGCAGGGAAGAGAAGCAACCCTCTCCCAGACCTTGTGTGTGGGGCTCCCTCTCAGCTACCTGCACTTGTTTGAGTGACGCGGGCCAGCAGGCTGGGCCTTCTGATGCACCAGGGTGGGATGGGGGTGGGGTGGGGCTGGGGAAAGGCCAGGGAAGGCTTTGGCCAAAGCAGCTTTGTTTTTTTAAAGCTGGGAATGATTTGAGGTTTACACAAGAGTTCTGACAATATGGGGACAGAGAGTTCCCATATACCCTTCACTGAGCTGTCCCTGATGTTAACATCTTACGTAACCACGGCACAATGGTCAAAACGAAGAAATTAGCATGGGTACAATACCATTAACTAGACCACTGATGTTTTCCGGGTTTCATTCAGTTTCCCACTAATGTCTCTTTGCTGTTCCAGGATGTAGTCCAGGATCTCACACTGCAAAGCAGGCTCTTGAGATCACGCCTCTGCACAGACAGCCTCCGCTCCCCGCGCCCCATGACAGTGGTTCTCAAACTTCTGAGAATTAGGTGGGTTTTTTTTTGTTTGTTTGTTTAAGGGGCACATCCTTCCCTAGACATTCTACTCCTGTAAGTCTCGGGGAGAGTCCTGGCATCTGTAAGGCTAACAGGCACCCTGGGCAGCAGAGACCTGCTGCCCTGACCCGCGCCCCAAGCAAAGTTGGGTTGGTTCCTATTTCCCTTGGCAAGTCCGTTGTCAACTTGCAGAGTTCCTGGCTTGGCCTTAAGACAGAGCAGGGCCGCCCCGTCCATCACCTATTAACCAGACCCTGGCAGAGAGGAGGCCTGCGCTAACAAGCTGGCCAGGGCAGAGCCCCAGAGAAGCCCTGTCGGGAGAGGAGACAGAAAGCATTCACCCGCCAGTCACAGATAGATACATTTTCTCATTTAATCCACAAAATGACCCCTATGAGTAAATGCTATCTTCCCCATTTTAGAGATGAAGAGCAATGTGAAGAGTAGGGTTGCCAGATTTAGCAAATAAAAATACAGGAGGCACAGCTAAATTTGAACCTCAGAAAATACTGGGGACATACTTATATTTTAAAAACTTGCATTCATCTGAAATTTAAATTTAACTGGGACTCCTGTATTTTATCTTGCAACCCTAATTAAGTGACATCCTTCGGCTGTGGAGCTGGTAAGTAGGCCTCGACCTGGATTTGGCTCCGATGTCTCTAGCGTGGGGTACCCCGTGTGTGCTTGCCTGCTCAACGCCCACCTCACCTGCCAGACCACAAGAGGTGGGCACCGTGTGTGTTTGTTCCCCTCTGTATCTCCGGCATTGGCACAATATGGCAGCAGATGTTTCATAAATGTTTGTTGAATAAATGAATGGCTAAACACATGCACAAATGGATTCACTTGTACCAAAGAAGCCTGCAAACGGTGGTGATTCACTGGAAAGGCGAAGCTGGTGAGGTGTCATGTGACAAACCTGCCTGTAGAAATGCAAGAAGAGTTAGGGGCTGGAGGCCTCGTGCCCATCCCGGGAACCCCAGCCCCTGCACCCCGAACAAGGACAGAGAGCCAGCTCTTCTCGTCACCTCTCAGGGTCTCTGCTTTCCCCACTGGGAAGTGGGGTTGTGTCCTTCCTAGCTCTAAGCCTCCGTGATTCTACAATTTTTCTTTCTAACCTCACCTTCCTGAGCAGGTTAAAAAATGCAGCCAAATTAAAGGGATTGCTGCCGACTACTAGATATTTACTCCCAAACTTGATATGTCTCCTTTCGCCTGTTCTTCCTCTCTCACCCTCCTCCTTCCTCCACAACAATTTTCTAAGCACCCCCATGGAGTCTTGGCCTTGTATTCCTCTCCTCAAATGCTCCCTTCCACCCTGGCAGACGAAATCAGAAGCCCAGAGAGACCCGGCCCAACACAGCTCCTCACAGGCAAGGAGAGACGTTGGGAGTGCATTGTGTCTTTTAAAATAGACCTGTTGTCGTCGGAATATATTTTTAGCTGTGGGAGAGATTGGCATGCTCTCAGGGCCACCATCTGCCAGAGGCAGTTGCTAAGCAACTGACACTGACGACAGCAAGGGGATGACTTCATGGAGGATCTGGGGACCCTAGTGGCCCTGTCTCACTCCACTGTCTAACGCTTGCATGCCAACAGCCAGGCTCAAGGGAATAAGCTCTCCCCTCCTTCTGGGAGAAGCCAGAGCTGCGTCAGGGCCTGGGAGCTGAGCACAGAGGATGCTGTATAGGTAGCAAGGGCCCCTGAGCCATCACTGCCACCTTGATTGACAGATTTTCCATTTAGAAACTTTAGATGCTACTGTTTAGATGCTACTGTAAGGCTCTGGACTCCTTCTCCTCGGCAGCCCCACAGGCGCTGGCCTGAGCCAGAGAAGGTGCTGCATAGAGGCATTGAGCCCAGGGCAGGCTTCCTGGGTTAGGCCCTGGCTGGTGGCCAGGACCCCTGGCTTCTGGCCTGATTCCGCCTTCAGCTCTCTGGGTGATTTGGGGTAAGTTCCTGACCATCTCTGACTCCCAGTTTTGTCACCTTCAAAGTTAGGGTAGTTGATCAGGTAAAATGCATTTATAGGGCGAAAAAGCAGAATAATCACAGAGTAAAATAATCCATGAGTCAGACCAGGGTCAGGTCCTGGCTTTGCCCCTTACTGCCTGTGTGTGACTTCAGGTAAGATACTGAGTTTCTCTGGGCCTCAGTTTCTGTCTCTCTAAATGGCAGCAATAATGCCCTTATTGTGTTGTAGGGATTCAACTCGTGGAAGGTATACAACAGAGAATCTGTATTTTGGAGCCCAGTATATAGGTAGGTGTTATTGCATTTCTTTAGCAGAGACTTTAAAGCCCTCACTGCAATTGTTTCTCCTCATCCTGGTTGATGGACTTTAAGCTAGGCGCCTCTCCAGCCTCCCTTGCAGCTAGATTCTCACTGAGGATGAGTTATTTGAAAGGGAGGGATAGGTACAACTTTTCTCACTCACTTACACTAAATTGCTTCCCTGGCTGTCCTTTCTCTTTTCCTTTCTATAAGCCAGGGCATGGATGTACCTATGATACCACTTTGCAGAGCAGAGGGACATGCTGGGGGTAGAAGGGGGTGGCAGAGCAACAAGATGGAAGGCACCTGGGTTCACATACTGAGAACTGTGTGTATGAGGTTTGCTTGGGATGGCTCAAGATTTAATGGCAGGTGAGTGGGGAGAGACATAAAGAAACAAAGGGGAGAGGCCGTAACTGATAAGGACAAGCCACCACAGTTGATGACTAGGGCATAATTCATGGGGAGGCTCTGGGAAATTGTATAAAACACAACCTTCAGAGACAGTCAGGGGTGAGGGAGCTGAGCCACATTTATCCTCATCCCATCAGTCCCTGGGAGGCATCAGCTCCCAGGCATTTCTGGTTTTTCTTGTGGTGTGGGCACAGTGAACGCCAGCCACCCAAGGGCAGCCTCTGCCACAGACACAGGTGCCAGCTGTCAGAAGCCAGGCTGGTAGGCATGGGTGTGGTGAGGGCACCCGGTGGTGGTGAACCCAACACCAGCAGCAGTACCTATGGTTCTTGGAAAGAGAAATTAACTTTTCGGTTCTTCCAGCCACTATATATTGAGGCATCTTTGCAGCTTAACTTTTGTCCTAACTAACTTCATTTCCAAATGCTATGCATGTGGGAAGTTGTGGTTTTATATAATCTCTCCAAGCTCCTGGACTCCATGTGATACTCGCGGAGGTTATGTCATGGTCGGGGAAACGAGGTTAATGCTAAGGAGCAGAAGTGTCTCCGTGGAGCATGCACCCCATGGCATTTCTGGGGCTCAGGCAGTAAGTGGCAATGGCCCCGAGAGAAGGGCAGATGAGTGTGGACCGGCAAAGTCAGTGAAGTCTCCTTGGAGGAGGGAGATTCAAACTGAGCCCGACCTGCTGGAGAGGACTTAGAGAGATGAGGCGCAGAACATCCTCACGGAGCCGCAGGGCAGCTCCTCTGCAGGTGTGGGGTAAGCAGGTGCCTGGCCGCTGTCACCGCAGTGTGGCCTCGAGCTGGTGGAGGCTGGCGTTGGCTGCCTCATGCATTTTGAGCTCTGGGCTGCGAGATGCCTCTTAGCTGGGGGTGACTTGGTGGAGGGGGTCCAGCCTCAGGGCACACCACCATTGTTTGCTGTGTTCTGAGGTGGAGAAGCTCGTGGTAGATGCTCCTCATCATACACCTGGTGCCACTAATGTCCAGGTGGCATGTCAGGGCCCACTGAAGCTGTGGCCTGCCTGCAGTGAGGGCATAGAGGTAAGTGCCCTGTAGCGCACTGGGGCTGGGTGACCAGCGCAGGCTGGGCACTCACGTGGGCGGTGTGACCAGTTGTCTCAGCATACAGCGAGCACTCAGACTGTCTTGGAAGGCAGAGCTGGGGGTCCCATAGAGATCATCTGGCCTAGCCCCCACATTTTGAGAATAGTGGCACTTCACCCAGAGTAGGAATGTACTTCTAAGGCCAGCAGAGGAACGGAAATCCAGATTTCCTGCCTTCCCAGGTTTGGGGGAGGGGTGCAACTGACACAGAGAGGTGGGGCTGCAGGCCTCCATCTGCTGCTGGGTCGTTTGCTCCACCCACAGGCCCCTTTTCTCATTCCTGGAACCTCAGAACTAGAACAGAGCTCAAGAGATGACTAGATCCGTCTCTCTGTCTCCTGTCTAACCTCGGTCACAGCAGCTGGCTTGAGGTTACCTTTCCCTGCCCTCTGTCACTTTTATGTGCTCTGTCACAGTGATCTGTCAGTTCTCCATGGCATCTAACTGCAGTCACTCCTGCTTTACTTTTGGTTTCATTTATTTTAACCCCTAGACACAGGTTGGTTTTGCTAATGACTCTGAGGAGTGGACTGAAGTCCGAATACCTACTTTGCCTCATTCTCTGTCCTATTTCTGTGGGAAAGGGGTTGTGTCAGGAAGGCTCTAGCCCTTCACCCCTGACCCCCAAGCATTGAGGACAAGAAGAAAAGAATGGAGCGCACACCCGAGCTCCCTGGGGCCCAGTCATCCCCAAGGCTCTGGAGGGAGGGGTGGAGGGCAGTGTCTCTCAGTGACGGTGGGCCCTACAGCCTTGACCCAAACCCAGGCGAATGAAAATCGTCTTTTGCTGGCTTGTTGAAACTTCCATCACCTCTCTTCACACCTCATGTCTATAAACATGGAGCATTTTTCTAGAATCTCTCTCTGCACTTTATTGTCTTTGGGAAAAAACGAGCAGCTTTCTTTGTTCTGTTTGGGAAATGTGTGTCTGGACTGGAAAGAAAGAAAGAGAAGGGGGTCCCAAGGGAGAAGCGGGTCCCTGCACAGCTGGTGCTAAGTGCTTGTGCCTAGTGCCAATGAGGAAGTAGAGAGAGGCCTCTGTGGGGCCCCTGTCTGGGTGGAGAATCAGACCTCTAGGTCAAGGTGCTTATAGGCAATATAAGACATAGATGGACCCAACTGTGGGGTCAAGCTCCTTCCCTGAATATGCAGGTAGCAAGAAGGGAAAGATCAGTGTGGACTCTAGTAGCTAGA